AATCTTATTGTATTGTAATGTAATAAAGTAAGTAGTATATATTATATATAGTGAGTAGATTATAACATAGGTTATTGCAGTACCTATAAACAAAATACAATGAATGTTATGCGTGCTTTAAATACATAAGTGGAGTCAATTTCCAAAATGCACAACCTGGGCTCATTCGGACTGTTGTTTGTTTCAAAATACTGGTTAAGCAATATGTGATTTATGTGACTAGTGACAGTTTGATTATAGCTGTAATATATTATAAAATGTATTTCTTGCTAATCCTTTTAAAGATATGTTTTTTTTAACTTTATTTATTTAAATTACTAAAAAAAAAATCTGTCTCATTTTGCCCCAGTATGCGGGGCAAAATGAGACAGGATAGGTGCTGTCAATAAATGATCTCTGGTGACCAAACTACTGCAGTTTTGCAACTCATACTTTTTAGGCTTCAAATAGGATCGTAAAAGAATTGAAAAATATCAATTTATTTTTTCAAAAGTTGTTAGACGTATTAGATATATTAGCGCTTAAGTGTCTCATTTTGCCCCTCGTTACACTACAAAGATGCTTATGTTAAACTTAGTCTACAAGTGTCACCGAAAATAAATGTTTTTATTAAGCATACATATAAATTTCTTTCATTTAAGTCAAATTCTTATTCAAATAAAGGATTGGATTTTCGGTCTGAATAGGTCTCTGAATTTGTTCATTATGATTTCAAACAGTTTTGGGATAGAGTGAATACAAAATTTTTAGTAGCCTTAAATACTATCCGCAAAGTCTTCTTAAAGCCACTGTTACCTTCTTTAAAACAGTTTTACTTTAAATTTAAAAATGTTAAAATATATATGTGTATCTTTTTAAAACTATTATTGATTGTATGTGGAAATGAATATAAATGTAAACATTAATTTGTGTCGTTAAAACCATTCATTCAACCTAATTGAAAAACAATTTAATATATACTAAAAGATCAATTTCAAGACTTTTTATTGTTCAAGATGAGTAACCTCCAGATATGCATTTTCACAGTAATACAAATAATAAGTTAAAAAAAAATCATTGTGATCAAAGTTTGGGAACTTATTATTATTATTGTTAAAACTAGACCCCTAAAGTCCAAATAATTTTTATGGAAGGGGGTAAGGATAGCACTTAAAAAAACTCTACCATTATGATCTCGACTAAAGTTCATCTGTAAAATTCTCATATAGTAAAAAACTATTTTAACGTCCAAATGAAAAACAAAATGGTTTTTTTTTTCTTTTTTCCACATTTAGGACAGAAGATCCCAATTTTTCAGTTGTATATTGTTTCCAGGCTCCTACCACTGAAATTTTCCTTAAAACATTCTTATTTGATACCAGTATCAATATTACAATATTTAAAGTTTGCACCATCTCTGGAAGTTACCTATTTTGAACACCTATTTTGAATAGCAAAAATTTATGATCTGCCTATTTAACCCCCATCCCTCTTGCCCTTTCTACTATTTTTTTTTGAAACACGTTAAAAGAATATTTTCAAAATTGAGATTTAAAAATAGATTCAAAATTGAGAAAGTTATTCAAAGTACTGTGGTTAAGAAAATGAAAATCGTTTCTGTTGGACATTTTTTTCAAATAAATTATTTCCGCTACTACATTTTTTTTACCTCTTTTCTTCAGTGTTTGAAATTTATTTATTTCTTACAAATAAGCAACAAATTTGCAATAAAATTGTTGCTTTTTTCTAACAAATAAGCAACAAATTTGCAATAAATTTGTCGCTTATTTGGTTAGAAATAAGCAACAAATGTTAAAGCGTCATAAGTTCTTTTTTGTAAATAAAAAAATATATAAATTTTTTATTTTTTTAATATTTATGAAGGTATTTCAAGAAGTCTATACGGTCTTATCACAAAAACCAGCGGAAAAGAATTATAATTGGAATTTCACGCCGGATCTACCGATGATGCATATATGGCCAAATGCGGCTTCAAACCACGGACCTCTAAAACCAGAATTCTAAATTTAGATTTCTAAAGCCAGATATAAGACGACTGCACCCACTACATTACGGCTGCTATATAAAACTTGTTATAAATGTTACTTTAGGGTGCAAATGCTTAGATACAAAAAAAAATTATTTATCAAAAATATTTTCTGTGTAACATGCCAAAAAAAAATCAAGTCCTTTTAAGGACGTGTTGACGCTTTGCTTCAACAAAAGTAAATGCTAAAAATAATCCACATATTTGGATTACCATGGCAAATAAGGTTCACCGAAAAAGGAAAAAAAATTCTGAAGTGAATACATAATTGGAAAGGTTATAAATTAAATCAAAAACACTATTCTGAAAAATAATTTAGTATTAATTTATATAATTATATTTTTTATAAATTTATAAAGATCTTAACATAGATACTTATAGATCTATGCTAATCTTTAAAGCAACCAGGGTGTACAGCCAGGGTGTGGAGCCAGGGTGTGGAGCTAGGGTGTGGAGTTTTCAAAGCAACATGGGTGTAGAGCGACATTACAAATTTTGCATCTGAAATTACTTCTGTCATGGCAGTATTGGCAAAGCTCTTTCACCTCTGTTTTTATATCAAAGTATGGTTGCACCTAAAAAATAATCTTCGGAATAAAAAGACATTAAAATAATATAAAAATTGTTTTCTGAAAAATACTTTTAATAATTAACATAAAAATTGATGGTCGCTTGTTTGCTGTTGGTAGGTAGTCTGGGTACCTCTCTTAAGGCATAAATTACTTAGTGAAGATGATGTAGTTCTTCGTTCTCTGGTTAAAGAAGTCTATTCCACCCATTATTTTGTTGTAGTCAATCATTATACGAGGGCAAGCAACATTGATGTATGCCTCAAGAAGTATATAAATAAAATCAATTTTATTTTTTATCATACGGTAAGAAACCAAAAATAAAAATACCGCAAAAATGGATGGGAGACATTTCACAGCAAAACGTAAGCTTTTTCCATAATAGACTCAAAAAAATCATAGACAGAACAAGAGAAATAAAACAGTAAGTATAGAAAAGAGAAATAAAAAAACTGCATCGGATATTTAAAAGTTGCATCGGATATTTAACTTTGATTGCTATTGTTAATTATATTTAATTAGTTACTTGCTCTTAAATATCACAAGCGAAAATCCGCTTATCGAGTGTTGTCATGAGCCATAGGAAATATTTTTATTAATTTTTCTTTTGGGCGCCCCAAGAAGATCTAAAGGTTTGCCACAGAGTACTGCGAAAGAGTACTTAACTAGGAAGTTAAATACACGCTTTTTTCCTCAACGATTGTGCGAAATATTCTAGAGAGCTCGCTTTGTATCATGTATCTATTGCTTCGAAAGCAAGCGCTCTAACTACTGCGCCGTGACCGCTCAATTTTGTATAGAAGCACTATAATTTTTTTAAATTAATAATGTGCTCAAAAAAAGACCTCAAAAAAAAACCTTATCAAATAGCACCACAGAAGAGCTTCTGATCAGAAAGTTTACGCTTCTTTTCTAACCAAAGCCGCTTACCTGGCCAGAGTCGGCATCAAATCTCGAACCTTTTGGTTCTGAACCAGACCTCTAACCACTGTACCACGGCTGCTCAATTTAAATTTTGGAATATGAAATTGAGAACTTAAGTGATCTAGTAAATTGGAAATAATAAGGAAAAACTTAATCAAAAGTGCCTCGGCCAATCGTTTATTGCCAAATTAAGAAAACCTCTAAGTCTGGATCAATAAGTGAGTTGACATTTAAAGTATACAAACTAGCTAATAATTATTCGGACCACGCATAAATAAAAATTAATCAAACTAGAATTACCAAATTATTGATAAATGTATAAACTTCTAACAAAGCTGTCATAGAAATTAATTTTGCAAAAAACTATAAATGTATTATTTAAAGTGAACCACAAAATTTTCATCACGCCCAGATTCAAATTTCAGTTTTTCTCTCAGCTATATATCATCGATGTCATTTGCAGTCGCATGTAAAAAAGAAACAGCGATTTCATATATGGATGTAATTATGGAGTAGCTGACAGAAACCGTTTAACAAGTTTCATTGTAGAGTGACAATGACACATCTCAGTTCAAAATAAAAGATTATAAAACAACTCAAAAAAATAAATTTAAAGAATTTTTTGCCTTGATGATAAATGAACACGATAAATACCCGTTAAAAATTCGTTTCAGACTGAATTGAAGGGTTTGAAAAAAGGTTTGAAACATTCAAAATATTGGCATATCGTGTGGACACGGAAAAATTCGGTCAACTCTTAACTGATATTTCTCTAAGACCATAAATTCTTTTTGTTTCAATTATTTTTATATCAAATGCGTTTACATCAATTAGGGTTTCAACTTAATTTTAAGGGGCTTGAAAAAAATCGTTTCGCAGATTTTTTCTTTTTTCCTCTTATTGGTGGCATTAATCCACTTTTTATAGAAGTCCTTTTTATTTTTTGTTATATTACTTCTCTTACGAAGAAATCTTTCAACTATTGCCCAAAAATCTTCAATCTGGTGCTCTTCAGGCCGATTTGGAGGATTCGTATCTTTAGGAAGTAGACTTTAAAGTAGACCTGGAAATTTAATAAACAGGTAAACGAGCCAAAGAAGTTTATAATTTGTTTTAAATTAAAACAACCCAAAATTGTGTTTATCCAAAAATTCATCAACGACAAATGTTATCGGAAAATACAATAAAACTTGTCTTAAATAGTGTTAGTTAGTTATGTCTAACTAACTAACACTAAGTCAGAAAGAAAATGTCGTAACGCCGTTAAGCGATGATCTTCAGATTAATAACTTTTAGGAAACTAATACATCTATATATAAGTCAAATGTTTATAATCAATAATAGCATATAATTCATTAAAGCGCTTACGTTAAACTACGTTAGTGATTAGCATGTGTTGCTCAACTTATAGATAAACATAAATAATCTAAAAATTTTTAATATACATCAATATTACTAACATATATAAACAAAAGTTGAAATTAAGACAATATAATATAATATTACAGACAAATTACAAGTTCTTCCACGTTTAGAACTCAAAAATATACAATATTTAAAATTTGACAATTTTAATATAAAGTTTGTTAATATGAAACAAAAAAGCATTAACAATATATTTTTCTTTAAAAAAATTTTTGATTTTATACATTTTTGTATGTACTAGTTTTTACATTTCCAACTAATATGTGAAATAAAGTGTCTGCTGAAAATAGAGAAAGAGTTTCGCTCTCAGTTTTATTAAATTTTCAAATTAAAAAACGAAAATATAAACCAGATTTTCGACTTACAAATTTTCAAAGATTATTTAAATGTTTTGTCTTAGATTAGCTTTTATTAAATTTAACGTGTTATTTATAAAATAAAACAATCGAGTTAATTTGCTTCTTTTCTAAATAAAAGTTTTATATTTTTTTTTCCTTTTTTGATCTTCTTTTTTTCATTGCTTTAGCTTTACGAGTTTTCTTTGAATTCTTTTTCTTCTTTACAACTGGAAAGGCTTTTTAAAAAAAATTGATAACTTAATTAATAAACAACAAACAAATGATTAAGCATAAAAAGTTAAAATAAAAGTTAACAGAACATACTTTTTATATTAATAACTCCTCTATTTTGTTTGCTATATTATTTAATATTTGCAAGTATTATTCAAGTATTTATGTCAAAAAATAAAAGCGTAGATGTTATATCAATGCATGTTATACATAGAATACGTGATTGTTTACGTACGTAATAAAGATAAAATTAGCTTATAATATCTACTTACTTTGGGGTGGAGGTGGTGGAGTTTCAGGGGGAGCAGTTTCAACAACTGGAGGTGGAGCTTCAGTTGTTATTGGTTCTGGTTCTTCAACCGGAACCTCTTCAACTACTGGCAATACTGTAGTAGTGGTTGTCTGATCTTCACTATCATCTTCTTCGCCATCGTCAGTTTCTACTGGTGGGGTTGGTGGAGCTTGTGGGACTGTTGGTGGAACTTCTGTAGTAACTGGTGGGGTAGGTGCTGGATCTATTGGTTCAACGCCTTCAGGATAAGCGGATGGTGGACAAGGCGCCCAATCATTAGGCCAATAGTTTGGAAAAGGATAATCAGCTGGAAGCACGTAATCTGTTGGCCATCCAAAATAAGGAGGCCAAGGATAACCCGGCCAGTTAGAAGGTTCTGGAGGAGCCTGACAACACACACCGTTATCTGGACATTGAACTTGGGCAGTAGATGGGTTGCAACCTTTGTCAGCACAAGTCCAACCCTCTTCATAACAAAAGCTTGATGGTCCATTGCAGAGCAGAGTACAACATTTGTTTATTCCGCACACGTTTGATGCAACTTCTCCTTCAACTGTTTCATTACATTGTTGCTTGCACACTGAAGCTGCTCCACTAGGATCACAAGCGTAGATGATTTCGCTGTACCCAGATACTAAAACAAAAACATTCAATAAGATCTTTAATTAAGTTGTCATTGATACCCAAAACAAGCGCAATAATAAACTTATATACGCGCACTAGTAATGCGCTTGATAGAATACTAGGTAGCTAGTATACTTAATAATATAAATTCATTACAAGTAATGCCTAATAGGTTATTATCTTTACGTTACTATTAACGCTTTATTATTTTTATTAACGTTTATTATTTTTACGTTACTATTGTTACTATCGTTGACTACCGTTACTATTGTTGACTATTAGCAAAACAGTTTTTAAAACTGTCTATAAACGCACTTTAGCGCATTAAAGTGTTACGTGAACAAACAAAACTCTCGCAAACAAGTTGATTGCACGAATGTCACTTTAAATATAATTTTAAAATAAATAATTATTTGTTTAGCAATCCTTACCTGCAAATGTTACCAACAACCCAAAAACCAAATGGTTTCTCAACATTTTTTTTCTTTCTAAACCAAAAGGAAACATATTCTTTATAATATATTTTATTAATATATAAAAAAATAAAATAGTTAACAATTATTAATTAGTTTATAATTTAATTAACTAAAAAACTTAAAACTTTTTTTCAATTGGAAAATCTAAAAAAAAATTCTCACTTATACTAATAAAAATGATTTTAGTTTTTTCTTATTTACACTTTGATTAAAAAAAAATTAAACCAATTTCTAAAGTGAAAGCATGCGTGAGAAGGATGCTCAAATACTTCATTTCTAGCAATGGGCACGACATGCAACAGAGCGAAACATTCTCTGTCGGATATTAACACATCAAAAAACAAAAAAGCAAATCAACATAATAGTTTTACTTTCATATAAATCGTGGCAACCACAAAACAATTGAAACCTGAACTGATCGGGGCTATAATTATCATAATAAAAAAAATTTTTAATTTAAATGAATAATAAAGATAAAGTTTCTTTTTTCTATATCTTATCTAAAACTGTTTGATATTATTTTTTTTTAGATTATTATCTAATTTTTTTAGCCAACAGGAGGCAATGGTTGCACAGTTTAAAATTTCTGACGCATGAAGTGTGCATTTTTAATAGGCAAAGAAAGTCACATTTTCGGCATTTATGTTTCAATTGAGTGAACTACCCAAACTTTATTGTTAACTTAGTTACATTTTTTATACTTTTGAGTTGCAACAGAAACTTAAAAAAAATATATTCAGGATTTTTTTTTGGAACCATTTTTGGGTCGCCTTAGAAATTTCTCACGTTAGAAATTTCTGTTCAAAAACTATTAAGTAAAACTATTTAATAAAACAAGCAACCTAAAGTTGCTAACTCTAACCACTGTAGTCGTGGCGCCGTGGTTAGAATTCTAGTTCAGAACTTGAGGTTTATGGTTTGACGCGACATTGTTTAGTTAAATGCCCTCCCACGGTGCTCCGTGATAAGACCGTAAGGATTTCTGGAAGCACCTTGATAATCAAAAAAAACATCCAACTCATTTTGCTACATTCCTAATGTTGCAAAATGAGTTAGGTGATTCTAGTAACCTTAAGTTGACAGTCTTCAGAATTTATTCTACACGTTATGAAAATATTTGTATCACTTATAGTATATACGTTCGTCATCTTGTCTTGTCTACCTCTCTCTCTCTCTCTCTCTCTCTCTCTATATATATATATATATATATATATATATATATATATATATATATATATATATATATATATATATATATATATATATATATATATATATATATATATATATATATATATGTATATATATATATATATATATATATATATATATATATATATATATATATATATATATATATATATATATATATATATATATATATATATATATATATATATATATATATATATATATATATATATATATATATATATTTAATTGTGGTGTATTCATAGATCTTCAAAAAGCTTTTAATACGGTTGATCACAACATTCTAATAAAAAAGTTAAACTACTACGGAATACGTGGTATTGCTAATCATTGGTTTTCTTAATATTTTAGGGATTGCCCTCAGTTTGTTTCAATTAATAGGTTTGAATCCACACATAAAGTTATTAAATATAGCATTCCACAAGGTTCCGTTCTTGGACCGTTATTGTTTTTATTATATATAAATGGTTTATCTTGTTCATTAAAAAATTCTATGGTACATCATTATGCTGATGATACCAATCTTTTATATATCAACAAATCACTAACGATTCTTTGCAAAAAAAGTTAATCAAGATCTTCATCGCTAATGTAACTGGTTAAAAAGTAATCGTATTTACTTGAATGTCAATAAAACTGAATATATTATTTTTCCCTCGAAAAACTATTGATACTATAAAATTTAAAATTAACGGAAAAAAACTTTTCCCGTCAAAACATATCTTGGAATATATCTTGATGAAAACCTATATTGGTATAATCAACTCTATCATCTTAAAAAAAAACTTACACGAGCTAACAGTACGCTTTCTCTAATTCGTTACAATGTTCCTATCCAAACTCTTCGAATGATTTATTTTTCTTTATTCTCTTCTCACCTTCGCTATTGTTGTATTGTTTGGGGTCAAAAAAGAAACTTTTTACTTAATAGCATTGCTAGTTTACAACGCGCATCTATTAGAATAATGACGTTTTCGCCAATGAGATCCGATACCATAAAAAAAATTTCTGAAATAAATATCCTAAAGCTTCATGATCTTGTAAAGTTTTACAATTGTCTTTTTGTATTTGACTTTCTCCAAAAAAAAACTACCAAACTCTTTTTTAAACTTTTTTATTAAAACAAATGAAATTCATAGTTATTACACCAGAAATACAGAAAATAGTAAGCTATACTCTTCTATTTTCATCACAATTAGATATGGTAAGTTTTCCATAAAACAACAATTTATTTCCGATTGGAACCAGTGTATTCCTGCATTAATAAAAAAGTCTAAAAATAAATATCCCCTTGTTATGGATTATTTACTGCTCAACAGATTTCAATTTAAAGATATATTGTTAGAGCGTGTTTCTTTATAATTTATCTCTGTACAGTAGTTGTCTTTATTATATAATTTCTTTAACGAGTGAGTGGTTTGATTTTTGCTTTATTTATTATTTATATTATATTTATTTATAATATATTTATCGTGTTTTTATTGCTACTTTTAATGTTATTATTATATTTAACTATTACCTATGATATGCACATACAATTTATATTGTATTATAAATATTCTTAATATTATTGATACTTTATTATTATTTTAAATTATTACTATAATCATTATAGTAATAATTTAAAATAATAACAACAATAATACAGTATCAATAATATTAAGAATATTTATAATACAATATAAATTGTATGTGCATATCATAGGTAATAGTTAAATATAATAATATCATTAAAAGTAGCAATAATAACACGATATTATTATTAATAATAGATTTGTGCAGTATGAACTGCACATTCAAACATCTAATAAATCATTATTATTTGTTTAACTAACTTTTCTTTTTTTTTTACTCTCTTATATTATATATTATGTATATATATATATATATATATATATATATATATATATATATATATATATATATATATATATATATATATACAAGTGCAACCAAATTATGCTAATTTAGTTTCTTTATATAAAAGTGCTGCTTTTTTTCAATTTAGAGAAATAACTATGTAACTGTTTAGAGACAACGTTCTTCAAGTTTTATTCATTACAAAGTTCATTATTTGTACACGAAAATTAATAAATTAATCAAAAGTATTAAAAAAGTTGATTTCCTTCTGGACAAGTGCAACTTGTCCAGAAGGAAATCCACGGCGCCCAATCTATCATCGATAAGTGGTTGTCTTGAAACCACTGCTTGATTACTTTTGCAGTGTGTTTCGGATCGTTGTCTTGCTGAAAAATCCATTTTATTGGCATATTCCATTCAGCATGAGGTAACATAACATCTTTCAGGATATTTTTATACATGAAACGGTCCATTATTCCATCAATTCGATGTATTGGACCTAGACCGTTAGCAGAAAAACACCCCCAGATCATTACATTGCCTCCACCATGTTTCGCGGTCTTATGGCAGTAACGTATATTGAGGCGTTTTCCGGCCGGTCGACGTACATGGCAAATGCCATCGCTCCCAATGATGTTGAACTTCAATTCATCACTGAACAGAACAGCTCGCCGTTTCTGCGCATTCCAGTTAATATGAGATGTTGCAAACAGGAGTCTTTTCTTCTGGTTCTTTTGTGAAATCAGCGGTTTCTTTGCAGGGCGTCGAGAAAACAATGCGGCTTCAAGAGCACGTCGTCTGATTATGCGGTCCGATACAGGCAGCTCTAGTTGCTTTTGTATCTCGACTGTTGATATCCAGAGATCCTTCTTGACGGATTTAACAATCATAGAATCCTTTCTAGAAGTGGTGGAACGCGGTCTTCCACCTTTGTTATATGCTGCCAACTTCCCCATAGAACGATATTTGGAACATAGACTTGATACGGTCCATTTTTTCACGCTATATTTATCACAAATACTTTTTTGGGACATTCCAACTACGTAATCGCCAATAATTTTCCCTCTTAGCTCCAATCCAAGACTGTTGGGAGCCATTATTGCACTTGAAGTCATAAAAATAATAAAAATAAATAATCACGCTTCTTAAAGCTTACCATGTTACATTTACCTTGTGATGATACAATAATGCTCTGTGGAATACAACGTCTTGGTTGGATGTGGGCTGTATTGATATAATGAAACACTTGTTGTATTTCACTTCTTGCATTAATGTTCTTTTATAAAACACTTTAATAAAACTCACTTCGATAACTGTCTTGATAATACTGACTGATTGACTTCCATATACTGACTGAATTATATGTCGGTTTTCATGTCTCTTATATAGTAAAATGAACCTGTGGGAACCTGTTCTGGATGATTCTAGACGCTTCTTTTCGATGCTTCTGTAAGCTTCTGGATGCGTCTGGATGCTTCTGAATGTTTCTGGATACTTCTGGATGCTTCTGGATGTTTCCAGATACTTCTTCTGGAAACTTCTGGACACTTCTGCATGCTTCTGGAAACTTTGGGAAACTTCTTGATACTTCCTTTAATTATTAAAAAACTTCCGTGACGTTGACACGGATTAGACTTAAGAAAATGAAACAAACCAAAAAAGTTTTACTTGTTTTGCTCGCTGCAAAATGGGACTTGTTAACGAAATTCTGCCTGTGTGCTGTCATCTGTCAGCTGATTGCTCATGTTATGGCATGCTATGACTCCAGACTCCTGAACTGGTTGCTGTGGTAGTATAGTTCGTTTCGTTTTTAAGACATGTAAAATTAGGAACACTTTTTAGGATTGTTCGATGTTGGTTGCAAATGTTTTGTCCAATACTGTATATATATATACATTTTTTTTTTTAATATTTTTTTTAATTATTTTTTTTATTTCTTTATTTTTTTCGAGAACTTTATGTTTTTTAAGTGTCACTCCATTGACTAGTTTGTAACTATATGAGTGGCACCTAACCAAATTCTATTAATTTACGACAAAATTTGTAAATTTTTATTGGAATGGTTGAATAAAAAAAAACAGGCGAAAAATTTAAAAGGAAAAAGTATTTATATTAACAAAGACTAATGCTCTGAAATTACAATTGTAAGAAAGGAGCTTCGACAACAACGGAAAAAAGAGCGAG